TTAATTTTGCCATTAGGATTTCCTTTGGAACTCTTGAGGGGCTACCCTCAAAGACTTTTTGAGATATGAGGTGCCAATTTCACAGAGGTGTTTTTCATACTAAATTTATATTTATTCGAATAGAGATTTATTTCACGTGCCGACACGCACACGCACACACAACGTAGATTAATAATAATTCTTTAAATTGTAACACACTTTTTAAGCTAATTGGCAAAATTCGATCTAATAACTGAGAATTCGATAATAAATGTCTTCTTGATATATAAAAAGAGGATAAATACTCTGTCTGAAAAATGTATAATTTGATACATTTATCGTTGATTGCACTGTGAGATTGTAGATCCATACGACTAGGCAACGCACACTCACATTATTACTCTCGCCATTATATTATTAGTATATAGTTATTCCGCGAGAGATAGCCACAATTGGAATTTTGAGATACCGAGTTCGGTAATAACAGCGCGCTCTTACTTAATAGCACAGTACGTTGCCGTTTAACAAATGATCGTTTCTTTCTACGGCGATGCTACTTTGCGCGAAAAGGGGACCACTAAGCCCGACCATCCCACATCGGGGCCTTAGCCGGGCCCCGATTGCTATTTAGTTGATATTATCATCAAATAGGTAATTTCACCTGGCGAACCTTATATAGCCGAAGCTGGGCATCGCTCCGATCGGCGCTTCTATATACATATGCAATCACGATGATGATTTTTCGCGGCGATATCCGATATCGCTTCGTCTGTGCCGGGTAGCCGCGCGCTGCCCGATGAAAATAATGCCGGATAACGATGTTTTCTTTCAATTTGTTCGCGTCCGATAGGCAACCGATCGCGGTGGAGTCGGGCGTAATTGCATCCCCGGGGAGTGCGCACTTCGGAGCGAAGGTAGGCCGAGGCCCGATAAGACGGCATCGAGAAATTCGTAGGCCCCATTATCCTCGTTCGCGAGCACTACGCATTAAGTATCGTGCGCACAATCGCGAGCACGACCTTGCTCGTGACCATGACCCTATCCCCGTGCACGCGGGACCCATCCGTGCGCAGCCCGAGTAGAGTTGGCCACACTCGCTGGCCCTGAGATCGGCTTGCAATGTGCTTGCAGTCTTGGGGGCTGTCGGCCGTTACTCATCCGTTTTCACCGTCGAATGCGTCCGCTCTCCCTTCGGTCGCCGTTTCTTGCCGCTCGCCCGCCTCAAGATTGGTAAGCGGCGCGCAACGAGGACACTGCGTACGTCCTTAAAGACGCACCTTCATTCACCAAAAATTGACGAAAGGAACAAAAGCCACGAAATTTTTATGCGCGTTACGTACATACGGCACGTGAAATATTTTATTCTGAAGTACCTAATGTTTGTGAGCAAATCCGCCAAAGTAAAGTTTTATTCATACACGCACGGAGAGACCGATATGTTTACCACATGTCTAATTAGGATTGGCACAATGGTAATATTTCGGACAGCTATATCTGTGCTTGTCATACCCACATTGATATGATAAGTAGTGGAGACAACTATATGCGTTTTGTGCAGCAAACTTAGTGAATGTTGCAACACAACCTTTTAATTTGAAGGAATCTAAGAGTCGTGACAGGGTGTTAGTCTAAATTAGTCTAAATATTTTATTCCAAATTTATTGCGAAAAATTATCACCGCTGTCATTTTAGTTATTTTCGCCTTAGCCGGTCTTTCCGTGTACAGTTTCCAGTTAATGATTAAAAAATAATTAAATTGAAAGAATAACTTAATATGATTGTCATAATAAAACATACAGTTAAGATAAAATGTTAGCCAAGAGAAAACAACGGAGTATTATATTTTCGAATTTCTCTCAATCAGATTTGCATTTTCGAAATTTCGTATGTATGTAGAAATAACTCATTGTCTACGTTCCGATTTCTTCTGCTCTATGCGGAAATGCAATTTCGGCTTTACGGATGATTAACCAGGCTAGATGATTACCATTTCCAAGATTACTCCCGCGTTCAGACAGTTTCAATCATTTTCAATGCGCAATGGTGCGCACGCTGAGATAATGACAACAAACATAGATGAAAATGGAAACTGACTGTCGTAAACCTGATGTAGAAGACGTCAGCTCAAAATTAATTACTAGAAATCGATAATTAGTCTGTCAAATAAAGAAATGATTACCGTCCGCTCCGCGCATATTATCATTTGCTAACGATCGCAAAAAATGTAAGCTCTCATTAATCGTGAATGACGGTGAGATATTTCTACGTGCATTTTACGTTGCATGAAAAGTGCCGCAACGCAGAGAAACCGTTTCAGCTACTAGCATAACTTACGATTCGATACTGTTTGCCACTGCATTGTTGCCATTATGTTATTACCACGGGGCTAGTAATTACGCAGGTGCATCTCGCTGGATCACATCGAAAAGGAAAATGCGGGTGAGCGCGAGAGCGAAGAGATACGAGCCGACATAGCTCATCCGCCCAACGAATTATCGTTTCCGGCCCCTCGGTTGATATTATCATGATGCAAATTGTATATAAACCAGCCGTAAGTCTTCCACGTCATAATACAAAAGCGTAAAAATCAGATAAAACGTACAATGATTGATGTTGCGCACTCCCGTTCCTCCCGGAACGATCGGTTACAATAAATAACAATAATAAATAGGCCCGATCCTTTCGAAATCGATGAATAATCGAGGCGATTAATAAAGAACTGTTTTCTACGATTGTCCAAGGAGCGCATATCGCACTTTTCGTTCCATTACGATCAAGTATCCTGGATAAATAGCGCACAGATGTACAAATGGGATCTAAAAGTCGGAATATGATAAATAATCTAACAAAACTGAAGAAGACGTCTGAGAGTTGAAAAGATTGGAGCTCGACATGACACTTCCGTGAGTATCTCTCGGATACTCTTTATGATACAACTCGGAGGAGTCGAAAGAGTTGTGGCTTCAAGTCGAGGAAGTCTAGGATGTGTCGGGGTGTAGTTGAGACCCAAGCTCGTTACCTGCGTTGTTGTTATTGTCGAGCCGACGTGATCATCGGGTACGTGGAGGATACAGGGAACCCGCGGTGGTGCCCGGCGACTCTATGGCGACGGGTAGAGGACCGGAGAACAAGAAAGCCAATCCGAAGCGACTTGAACCCGAGATCGGTTAGGAGAGCCGGAGAGGAGAGAGAATACCGAGCAGTTTCTCTCGGCGCGCCGCGCGGACCCTACGTGCTTTTATTACGTGGCCGTGACTCGATGTCTCGAACGAACTCACAGCCATTACGTTTCTTCTCCCTCCTCCCCCCCCCCACTCCCCTCTTGCTTTTTTTCATAATACTTCTCGGCTTAACGACGTCTCTCCAAATACGTGAGACGCAATTACTAGCGAAGTGTGCATTTCGGTGCGGCCGAGACACGGCGACGCTGATTGTCAGTGCGTTCGTTACGTTGTTATTAACGCGCTTATGCACGGCGTCCGCGGCGAATTAAGACTCGCCGGAAGACAAGTCGCGCTATTAATTCGTTTTCCCGTCCTCTCTAATCGCGCGCGACTCCGATCCTCCGCGAATATTCGTAATCGCGCGCTGCGTTCCCCTATCGCCGCCATTATGTCGGCAGGGTACTCGTAACCTCATTGTTATCGCGAGAAGTGGGATCGAAACGTAGGAGGAGGAAGAGGAGGAGGAGAAGGAAGAAGAAGAAGAAGACGAAGAAGAAGAAAAGGAGGAGGAAGAAAGCGAGCTCGGCTCTGGGAGGCGCCCGCGTACGGACGCTCGGGAGGAAGAAGAAGAGGGTAGCGTCTCTTCACAGGTGTCGCTTCAGAGCGCTACCCACTGGAGGCCACATTTGCTCCTGGTACCGCGTACGCGAACGGTAAACCGGCACTTCGACGCCGGTACTCGACTTCGGCCGGCCAGTTGCGTCACTTCGGAACATCCTTGAGCAGGGCATCTCGGTTTGATTATACGGTGGTAATCGACGGGTATATTACGGTGCCGCGTATGAATTTCACATGAGAGAAAGAGGGACGACTGCGAGGACTATGAAGAATCGGCGCGGAGTTCCCGCTCTTGGGCGGCGAGTGATGGACCGGTTGCTCGGCCGACCGGAGACACCGGTTTCAGAAAAGTGCGCGAGCTTCCTCCCTTATTGAAAACATCGTGAAAACGCCATTTCGTGCGCTGTGACATGAAGTTGTGAACGTTGACTTGACGTCTCCCCTTGACGACCTGTTGCCGAATAGTCGGGATTGTGACAAAATAGTGACGCACAGCTACGACGCCATTTAACGCGAACTTGGAGTGCATTAGAAATAGAAAATTGAATAACGATAGAAAGGTACAAGGTCTGCAAAAACGTCATAGTTTTTGAATAAAGATTAGTTGGACAGTCTTTGGAACAAAGCGGTAGACTCTCCTATGACGCGAAAATAATGTAAACGGACTGAACGATCTCGATCTATGGTCCATCGACATCAGAAGTGGGGGACGCGTCGGAGGCAAGTTAGCTTCGGTCGATCGTTTGGCCGAAGTGAAGCGGAGGGACGACCAGGCAAGGGCCAGTTCGACGCGCACGTTCGCGAGGAACTCGGAGCGTGCACGCGCGCGTTATGTAATCGACCGCGGCGTCGATCGCGCTCATAAACAATGTAAGGATCGCTTGTTTAACGGATAATCATTTTCCGTATTTATGATAATGGCTTGAGCGTGCGGGTAGCGTTTTTTCGTCGGACACGATATTCCCCGACCATAGAGCTTGAAGGCCCTCGCGTCCCAATCGAGTGTGCAGCGCTGCCGTGCCCTTCGACCGTTGGAGAACCATTAAACGAGTGTAATTTGATGAACGACTTGGATGAAAGGGACACTCCGGTACGGCGCTTTCTCGAGAGCGACGATGAATTGATTAGCGCCCGCGGTGAAACGGAGAGAGGACACTATCGAACGGTGGCGATCGGCGTTTTACTTTTCCCGGCGCGACTGGCGCTTAATAGGAGGAGACGATCGGCGACGACGGTCGCGGGTAGCTTGACCGATCCGTTAGAGGTTAAAGGCTGTTACACACCGTCGTGCGGCCACGGTGCGATCGGCGCGCACCGCGTTCTCGTGCTAACGCGTATGCTTCTTCGCGCCCGGTGGTACGCACGATACCGCATGCGGCGCAGCGAATTCCGAGAGACCGTGGGCCTCGCAGACCGTGGCAGAACAATCTCGGCGTAGGCTTCCGATCGCGGTCGGATCCAGGGTGCGACAGATATGGATGACGGTGTGCAGAACGGCCTGCAGCCGGACCAGTGGTTGTCAACCGTCGACAAGGGCGAGAAGCGCGCGAGCTCCCTCGGCAGCGGTGCGTTCCGCTTCATTCGCACGCGCAGCAGCATTCGACGAGAACTCAAGCGACAATGCCATCGGTAAGAGATTACAACTATCTCGACGAAAGATCAATTATAACAACATAAATCTATGGCTATTCTTGAGAGATAGCGAAAGCAGATTATCAGCAGCGAAAGGTGGCGGGAAGTTGCCCGTCGACATAATTCGTAATATAAATGGACTGTATATTTAACGTATTACAACAAGATTGATATATGTTTGAAGCGATGCTTAACGGATTTCGAATATCCGAGTCGTTAAACAGTTAGAGGAGAACCCATTAAGCTTGTTTTTACTATTCTATTCGTTCCGGTACGTGTCTAACAGAAAACACTTGATATCACCGTTTTTCTACGTGCATTGTTCCAAGTGGCAATAACTGTCACGATATTGCCGGGTTTTGTGACGCGGACGTACGTGCTGTTCGTATTTCGTATCGCGTTTGCTCTTGATGGTCGAGCTCTCGAGGGGCGTACGTGTGCGCCTGTGAGCGAACGGGCTGGCCGGGACCGGCTTCGCGTTTCGGTCCTTTTGGGACCAACGTTGGCTGCCGGCTAAAAGGACCGCGGAGAACCGAGCGCACGGCTCCCCGACGTCCGTCGTAACAGGAATGCTGAATGACTTGCGAGTCGTCACGCTGCCAGCAAGTTCGCTGGCGCGCGAAGGTCCGCGTATATAATCTCCGCGACTTTATCCGACTTTATACGTCGCATACGAATGTGCTAATACCGCCGATATTTCACTCGTCTACGCCAGGTATCGTTATAATTAATCGACACGCAGGAAACCTCTAACCGGGAGCGTCCCCTGAACGTAATTGGCGGCGTAGCACTCGCGACAGCATGATTGACGATCGATGCTATCGTAAAGTATAATAAAAGATAACGCGCTACAAACGTCTTACGTTGGTGGAAATGATAACGCTGCCAAAGCATATCCGATTCGTACATACAGGGTGAGTCAAATGT